ATTCTCCCTTTACCCTCCCTGTTTTGCCACTCACACCACTGGTCCTATAGGGCTCATCCATCCTGGATTCCCTGTATTTTCAGTTCCTATCTGTACCTCTTTTAGTTTTATGTATAACCCTCCTCTTAGCTTTTTTGATTTCTGCAAAGTCAGCCCATTCTTTCTTAGTTGACAAAAGTGTAAAATACAAATGGCCCATAGGATTAAAGACCCATGGTGTATATGTATGTGTATGTGTGTGTGTGTGTATCTACATATGTAACACACTCACACACTTATCTCCACAAACTCCAACAGACCCAGCATTCACCTCTGTCCCAGGTCAACTACTAAGATTGTTTATTCATCTTTTTACCTGCTTGGGATCCAATTGCTTGAGTTTTCGCTTGGAGCATACCTACTGTTATTAAACTGCAAGATGATGAATTCTTCCAGTCCCAGGACTGAAGTCTTATTTGACGATTCATATATGACGGCATCATCTTGATGCTCAGAGACAGATGAGCACCCACCCACCCTTCCTGGCGATGGGAAAGGGTTCGATGCTCTGTTCAATGCATGCCTTTACGGAAGCCAGACCCCAGTGCCTTCTGCACAGTCTAAAGACACAGTCTCAAGAGGTTTTTTGTGTTTTTTTAAAATTTTGGTGCTTTTAGATGTTTATCCTTTCTCCAAACCACTCTTCCTGGAGAAACACTGTGATTTTTAATCAGCATCACCAAGCCGCCTCTGTGGAAATGGCTGTGCTTTCCAGCGTGCGGCGGTACCATTTCCTAAAGAGCAAGGCTACTGGAAGCAGAGAGCAGAAAAATCCCAGATGGCACTAATATTTGATTTCATTTTTAGCCCACTCATATTCAGCAGATGGATTGGAAGGCTGACCTCCCTGACACTTCTGCATCACTGCCTGCTACTCCAATTGCCTTTGCGCATGTTTTTTCATAAGGCTTCTCTTGGTACCTCAGAGATTGATGCCTGGTCGCCTGCCTGTGTTATGCTTCATTACGCCCAGGCGCCGTGTGGCTGAGAGTTGCTGTATTCTATAAAAGGGGGAATCTCGGCTCATCAGGAGCTCGGACTTTTCCGACAGTCTCTCAAACTGCCGGTCACGTCTGTCTGGGTGGAGAGCATGCGCTCAGCTTTCTAGGTGCAGTTCTCATTTGTGTCTATGTTTAACAGCCTCTGCTAACTTTTCCTCCGTTCTTCTGTGGCCTGGCCAAGTTGGTAATAATCATCTAAGACCCCCTAGAAGGTGAGTGCAGTTAGCTGTTGGCAACATGCCTACTAGTAGCAAAATAATCTATTTCTCTGCAAAGAATTCCCCCCTTTCCCTGTAGCTTCGGGGACTGAGAGTACAGAACTGGGTTGGGGTTCCTAATTCTTCCACTTAACTTTACCTTAAGCTCCGTGAACTTTAGAATAAGCCTCAGTTTCCTGCTTTGTAAACCAGTGATACCATTAGTACCAGCCATTAGGACTATAGTTAAGATGTGAATGAGATCATGGGTGCAATATTGTTGCAGAATCTAAACCAAAAATCCAAACTCTCTGCCATCGAGTTCATTCCTACTCATAGCGAGCCTGTGGGACAGCGAAGTGCCTCTCTCTGTTATCAGTGCTGTAACTCTTCACAGCCCCTTCATTCTCCTGTGTAGGTGGGTTTGAACTGCTGACCTACCAGTTCATGGCCCAATGTATAACCCACCATGCTAC